TGAGTAACGCTTACCAGACAGAGGATCGAGCCTCCACTACTTGCGCTGAATTACCCATACGGGTTTAACGATTCTTATCATTACAAGAATGTTTTAAGTAGTGGTTCAGATAGTGCCTCTGCTCCCCTTTACATAATGCATGGTTACACGTTGTCAGGTTTCACTGATTTTGATCCATCCAGCTACCATCCAGTTTTACCCTCCTCTTACCTCCGCTACCGTCAAGGGAGGTTCCTTGACGCTGGTGAGGGGCTCTTGATCTAGGGAATTGGATATGTCCTCCAGTTCCCTGAATTAAGCCTGAATACCTTCCATCCCCCCCCCCCTACAGGCGTGGTATAATCCTACGGGTTTAGCGCTTCCCCATGATTATAATAATCTTACCTCTGCTGTTGTGTATAGTTCAGTAACCGATAGTGTAGCCTTCCTCTTGTCTCTGGTGCTGCCCCTATATCTGCTGAGAACACCACTTTAAATCAGTGTTCACTTCATAGACTTTCTTGTGTCTTCTTGTGAGCTACTTTCATTCCTTCTACAGTCTTACTGCCTTTTTTTTTACTGTGATGTCAGGATATTTTTTAATGAAAATATGAAAATTTCCTAAATTTTTTTGCAAGAGATAAATCAACTGTATAGTATATAAATCCAGATGTACTCTTGTTAATGCTTTTGGGGCCTAGTTCCTAGGCCTTTTGCGTATCCATATGCTCCTGCTCTACCCTCCACAATCTAATCTGTTGTCGTTTATTGCTATGTCATTCTCAAATTACTGCTCAGCTTCTCTTCTTACCCTTGAATATTAGTCTTCTCAACTGTTTACTTCTGTCCCTCGCTTTCTAACGATTTTCCATGTTCTTGTCGGTTTTTTTTTTTTTTTGCTTTGTTTGTCATCTCTGTATTCTCATTATGATGATAACGACACAGTGTGAAGATTGAATTGTTGAGGTCCCTGGCAGGATGACGCGTCTTGTAATAAAATAAAAAGGCACAATACTGTGACTGGAATAATACACAAATAACCCGCACATAGTTTCATTCTCCTGTGTGCGAGTTAAGTAAGTAAGTTTATTCAGGTATACACAAATACAGTTACATAGAATTATCATACATAGCAGCATATGTGTAGAGAACCTAGGATAACCCAAAAAAGTCATTGGTTATTGGTTAGTAAAAGTTTATTCAGATATACACAGTTAAATTGATTATCATACATAGCAGCATTGGTGTTTTCTAATACCATGACCCACACAGTGTGTGTTTAGTCACCTATATGTGGTTGTAGGAGTCGACTCACAGCTCCTGGCCCGTGTGTGTGTGTGTGTGTGTGTACTCACCTATATGTGGTTGCAGGGGTCGATTCGCAGCTCTTAGCCTATATGTATGTGTAATTAGGTTAACAATTCACGTCATGATACAGGCTGAGTTGACCAAGCAATACACGCTGCGATGCTTTCTCCACACACAAAGCAAATAAATCTTTCCCTTATCTATCTATTAGGGTGAATCAATGGGAAAATAAGAGGAGATATAGGTGGTGGGAGTGAGAGAGTGTTGGAGGAGCGCGCGTCACTTGTGTGAGGGAGGGAGCATTGTGGGAGTGACGTCACACATTCCTTCTCCATTACGCCCAAAACCCTGCAAGGTGTGGCCCAGCAGCCATATTGGATCCCGGCCGCCTTACCCTTCACCACATTTCTGAGGTACACCCGCAGTTACTTGCTGTGTGTGGGAGTGGGGCCAGGCCGGGCTCAAGTACTGGTGTGCAGGCAGGTACTGGTAGCACCCACGCCTCGCCCAGTAGTGTATTACTTCGAGAAATTGGAAGTGAATTGCGAGGCTCTTTGAAAGTCAGTTGAGCAGCCACTGACCTGTTGGACTGGGGATGTGGTGGGTGTGTGTGTGTATGTGTTTTAGGCGACTTGTGGACTCTGGCAGTGTATGTGGACCACAGTACCGACCTGTTAAGCTGTGAGAGGTTTATAGAGAAATATTTAACTGCAAAAGAGAGGTGTAGTGAAATATGAGGCTGGACCATAACTACCGTCTGCCAAGACTGAAGATGTCTTGGTGTACAGCCTCTTGCTTCTCCCTCAAGATTGTCTCAATTCTCACGTTGCTTTAATATGGCGACTACTGTTATTCTCTCTAGTGTGATATTGCCACGTTACAATAAATTATTGCTTTCCTTTTGAAAGCAAAACATTTGCCTTTGTCAGGTTAAGCTTATGATCTTTACATATGGTTAACCAAACTATTATACATTTATACAATAATTGCATTAAACTCGCTTATCATATGCATGCATTGGCGGTAAAATGCGTAAATTTGACCTAGGATAACGCGAAAACCAATGTTTTTCTTATATTAAAACTTGTCACTTATTCCGGATATCTGGCGAAGTCGCCGAGTTTTTAAATTCCCGTCGTCGGTGAGTAAAGGCGACAGGTTCGGCAATTTGAGAAGTTTTCTAATATAAATTAGGTTTATTTTAAGTTAGGCTGTCAGTTTGCACTGCCATGTCCATGACCAGGCCTCATGGTTGATGGACAATTCAACTAGGTTGTTGGTGCTTGCTCATAATTTTACTAAAGTTCTAGAACTTTGCCATTAAGTATTGTCTTCAAATCGATTGGTTACTTTGTAACTGTGCGATTCTAGCATACCCAATTACTCACGTACTTAATGCAGTTATAGTAGAATTCTAAAATCTGGCCAGTGAATGGCTCTTGATTTAGGGAATTAGAGCTACCCTCTTTCTTGGCTCAATCCTTATTACATCCCATTCCGTAGGTGTTATATGTCCTTTAAGCATCATATAGCACCCATAAATGCCACAAAAAGTGATTAGGGTAAGCTTGCTGTTAGTCTTTCTGTGGTGATATGTAATTTAACCCGTAAACGGTCCAAGCAGATCTACGTTCACATGTGTAGTGCTACAAAAGTAGATCTACGTTTTTTTTTACACATTTTCAGATGTAAAAAAACAAAAAGATGATCTACTTTTTTTACATACTTTCAAATGTTGAAAAAACGTATATATACGTTTGGACCGTTTACAGGTTAATCTTAGAAATGAAACTGTTACTAGCATCCCCATCTTAAACACTGAGGTACTGGGATTGTTCCTCAGGAAGGGTAAGATGAGCATGTTTCCTTACACCTGCTGTCCCTTTTCATAGCAGTAAGTAGGTACATGGTGTTAGTTAACTGGTATGGGTCGCACCCCCAAAAGTTATGTTTCCTAGTGGAAATACGAGTCCCCGAGGATGCACACTTTTTTGGGTTATCCTGGGTGGTTAGCCCTCCTGATTAAAAAAATCCTAACTTAAGCTGTTCAGAAAATGTGGATAATGTAAATTCTCCAACACTACAGGCTGTTCAGTGGAAGCATTTATATTTTATACCTTTGAGAAAAAAGTAATAAAAAAAATTTTTTTTTTTACAAAAGTTTTTCCCAATAAGCCCAGAATATAACTGGCTCCATTGCACAGCCCATTTAATATTGTACAATTTACATGCTAATAAGAGCAGCTAAATTAAATATTTAATGATAGCCCAGAAAAACACTGGCAGTCATCTCCGCTGTTCACGTGTCAGTGACTAATCGTGTGTGTATTCCTCTAGGCAAATCCCTCAGTGGATGTGCCTTGATGCTGGTGTGGGGCTTTTGATCCAAGGAATTAGACCTTTGTTTCCATGAATTGAACCCACGTGCTGAACGACCCCTGTGGGTGTAGGACTCAATGTAATAATCCTTTGGGCAGAGAGTTTTCCTATATTTAAATTTACCAAATAAATTTGTCAGTTTTGTTTGATAAAAATATCAGCAAGCAGTACCAAGATAACAATGGAAGTACTTGTGAGTAAACTCGGGATATTGCTGGGCACTTTATTTCCACTATTATTGTTGATATTTTTCATATATGTGTAATGGATATACATAGAGGCTTTGTCAATTTGGCTGTGTAGTAATAACAAACTTTTGTCAAATGTGGCTGCACATATTTTGTAACATGGAAGATCTTCATACTTGACAATGCAGTCATCCATATACTAGATGTAAACTTGCTGGTCTCTACCTTGTATGCATGCAAAGAGCTTTTATTAGGCATAAGAGATATGAAGGGCATTTAGTTCTTTATCCATCTAAAGCTGGGACACTACGGAAACATTTGAATAGCTGACAATACCATGTACAGCATTTTATTAGATTGAAGTATAATTCTAATACTGTACGTACTTGCAAAGTCAAGCTGGTTTAGTCGAAGCATCTTGGTAGCCTATGTACAGATTCTTCTGATGGCCACTTTGGTAAAGATTGTACAATTGGGTAAGTCTCTTAGTTTAGAAAAGAACTTGGCTACTGGTAGGTTTAATTTCATAAAAATACTTTCAGATGTAATAGAGGTTGGCAACCGCTAATCCGGTTCCATCAGTAATCCGGCACTAATTTTGGCTAGCATAATTTCAAATTTCTGGGGTCGCCGCACCAACCTGCCACTACTGTTTGCAGGTGCTACTTGCTGCACAAGTCATTCCAATTTGTTTTTCTCCACTTATTGTTATAACCTGCTCACTTTTAGCCCTGGTCATGGTTACAACAAATAAAGGAAATGCTTCTCGTTGAGTAACGCACAAACACTGTACATTGTCCATAAAAGATAAGGTGGCTTTGAAGCCACTGTCGGTCCCGTAGTATGACACCATGAGCTCAGTTCAATGAGATAAGCTCTGATTGGTAAATTTAGGACTACATATGAGAGAATAGGTCTGTGTGATAAGTTTGTGCTATATAAAAAAAAAGAAAACTGCAGCACGCAGTGCATGAGAAAAAACTACGACTGTGTTTTTGATGTAAAATGGCGACTGCTGTGTATTTTCATATTTTTTTATTGTTGTAATCTCATTTTTTTATCTCCTTTGATAGAATGGAAGATATTAATGCCCACTGTATGCATTTAATACATTTTACATTTCAAGGCCTTATTTCTTTCTTTCAGAATTCATGGCGGCCATACGAAAAAAATTAGTTATAGTTGGGGATGGTGCATGTGGTAAAACATGCCTTCTTATAGTATTTTCAAAAGATCAGTTCCCAGAGGTCTATGTGCCAACAGTATTTGAAAACTATGTAGCTGACATTGAAGTTGATGGTAAACAGGTGAGTGTGTTTGAGTTTAAATTACAACTATGTTTATTATTTTCTTTTTAAATTATGTAATTTAATATTATTTTATTATTATCACACTGGCCGATTCCCACCAAGGCAGGGTGGCCCGAAAAAGAAAAACTTTCACCATCATTCACTCCATCACTGTCTTGCCAGAAGGGTGCTTTACACTACAGTTTTTAAACTGCAACATTAACACCCCTCCAGAGTGCAGGCACTGTACTTCCCATCTCCAGGACTCAAGTCTGGCCTGCCGGTTTCCCTGAACCCCTTCATAAGTGTTACTTTGCTCACACTCCAACAGCACGTCAAGTATTAAAAACCATTTGTCTCCATTCACTCCTATCAAACACGCTCATGCATACCTGCTGGAAGTCCAAGCCCCTCGCACACAAAACCTCCTTTACCCCCTCTCTCCAACCTTTCCTAGGCCGACCCCTACCCCGCCTTCCTTCCACTACAGACTGATACACTCTTGAAGTCATTCTGTTTCGCTCCATTCTCTCTACATGTCCGAACCACCTCAACAACCCTTCCTCAGCCCTCTGGACAACAGTTTTGGTAATCCCGCACCTCCTCCTAACTTCCAAACTACGAATTCTCTGCATTATATTCACACCACACATTGCCCTCAGATATGACATCTCCACTGCCTCCAGCCTTCTCCTCGCTGCAACATTCATCACCCATGCTTCACATCCATATAAGAGCGTTGGTAAAACTATACTCTCATACATTCCCCTCTTTGCCTCCAAGGACAAAGTTCTTTGTCTCCACAGACTCTTAAGTGCACCACTCACTCTTTTTCCCTCATCAATTCTATGATTCACCTCATCTTTCATAGACCCATCCGCTGACACGTCCACTCCCAAATATCTGAATACATTCACCTCCTCCATACTCTCTCCCTCCAATCTGATATTCAATCTTTCATCACCTAATCTTTTTGTTATCCTCATAACCTTACTCTTTCCTGTATTCACCTTTAATTTTCTTCTTTTGCACACCCTACCAAATTCATCCACCAATCTCTGCAACTTCTCTTCAGAATCTCCCAAGAGCACAGTGTCATCAGCAAAGAGCAGCTGTGACAGCTCCCACTTTGTGTGATTCTTTATCTTTTAACTCCACGCCTCTTGTCAAGACCCTCGCATTTACTTCTCTTACAACCCCATCTATAAATATTAAACAACCACGGTGACATCACACATCCTTGTCTAAGGCCTACTTTTACTGGGAAATAATTTCCCTCTTTCCTACATACTCTAACTTGAGCCTCACTATCCTCGTAAAAACTCTTCACTGCTTTCAGTAACCCACCTCCTACACCATACACTTGCAACATCTGCCACATTGCCCACCTATCCACCCTGTCATACACCTTTTCCAAATCCATAAATGCCACAAAGACCTCTTCAGCCTTATCTAAATACTGTTCACTTATATGTTTCACTGTAAACACCTGGTCCACACACCCCCTACCTTTCCTAAAGCCTCCTTGTTCATCTGCTATCCTATTCTCCGTCTTACTCTTAATTCTTTCAATAATAACTCTACCATACACTTTACCAGGTATACTCAGCAGACTTATCCCCCTATAATTTTTGCACTCTCTTTTATCCCCTTTGCCTTTATACAAAGGAACTATGCATGCTCTCTGCCAATCCCTAGGTACCTTACCCTCTTCCATACATTTATTAAATAATTGCACCAACCACTCCAAAACTATATCCCCACCTGCTTTTAACATTTCTATCTTTATCCCATCAATCCCGGCTGCCTTACCCCCTTTCATTTTACCTACTGCCTCACGAACTTCTCCCACACTCACAACTGGCTCTTCCTCACTCCTACAAGATGTTATTCCTCCTTGCCCTATACACGAAATCACAGCTTCCCTATCTTCTTCAACATTTAACAATTCCTCAAAATATTCCCTCCATCTTCCCAATACCTCTAACTCTCCATTTAATAACTCTCCTCTCCTATTTTTAACTGACAAATCCATTTGTTCTCTAGGCTTTCTAACTTGTTAATCTCACTCCAAAACTTTCTTATTTTCAACAAAATTTGTTGATAACATCTCACCCACTCTCTCATTTGCTCTCTTTTTACATTGCTTCACCACTCTCTTAACCTCTCTCTTTTTCTCCATATACTCTTCCCTCCTTGCATCACTTCTACTTTGTAAAAACTTCTCATATGCTAACTTTTTCTCCCTTACTACTCTCTTTACATCATCATTCCACCAATCGCTCCTCTTCCCTCCCGCACCCACTTTCCTGTAACCACAAACTTCTGCTGAACACTCTAACACTACATTTTTAAACCTACCCCATACCTCTTCGACCCCATTGCCTATGCTCTCATTAGCCCATCTATCCTCCAATAGCTGTTTATATCTTACCCTAACTGCCTCCTCTTTTAGTTTATAAACCTTCACCTCTCTCTTCCCTGATGCTTCTATTCTCCTTGTATCCCATCTACCTTTTACTCTCAGTGTAGCTACAACTAGAAAGTGATCTGATATATCTGTGGCCCCTCTATAAACATGTACATCCTGAAGTCTACTCAACAGTCTTTTATCTACCAATACATAATCCAACAAACTACTGTCATTTCGCCCTACATCATATCTTGTATACTTATTTATCAAATTTTACTACAGTAACCATAACAGTTCTCTGAAATCCAGTTTTCCAAAAATTCTGAATACCTGAATTTTGCTACTTGATGCTATGTTTGGCTGTTCACTAACATTGTTGGTAGGCTTTGGCAGCCTCTTTAATCATTAAATTATTTAATGAGAATTGGTATTTTACAGGTAGAGTTGGCCTTGTGGGATACAGCAGGTCAAGAGGACTATGATAGACTGCGACCCCTCTCTTATCCAGACACAGATGTCATACTTATGTGCTTTTCCATTGACTCTCCAGACTCCTTAGAAAACATCCCAGAAAAATGGACTCCAGAAGTCAAACATTTTTGCCCAAATGTTCCAATTATTCTAGTAGGAAACAAAAAGGTATGTAAATCATGTTAATTAAACTTTAGTTACATGATTAAAGTGGGATAGTATTATAGACTTTGCAGCTAAGGAATATTGTGCGAGTTACTGTGGAATAATCCATAACTTGAAAGCAAATGGTCATACTATTTGCATTGTAGATATATCAGTGCTGCCACATTTTCTAATATAATGGGATGCATTCCAGGGTTGAGTTGTTGCAAAATGCCATCAATGGATTTTGTATGCTTGAATCTAGTTACTTGATTCTTACGAAAGTGTAACTTGACAGTTAGAAATTTTTTTAAAGAAGCTTGGGCAAAAAAAAAAAAAAAAAAGAAAAAAAAAATCCAAATGTCCATCACATTTCCTTACTTACCTTGCCAGAGACGCGCAGATACGACAGTTGAGATGCCCCTCCAAACTATAAATATCCCAGACCCCTCCTTGAGAGTGCAGGCACTACTACTAACCTTTATAGGATTACATAGTACTGTCTCTTCATGATATATATTTGTATCTTTCCTGACTATCATTAGACTAATATCTATGTTGCAGGATCTACGAAATGATGCTACAACTATTAAGGAGCTTCAGAAGATGAAACAAGAGCCAGTAAAACCTGAGGAGGGACGTAACATGGCAGAGAAAATAAATGCTTTTGCTTATTTAGAGTGCTCAGCCAAGACAAAGGAGGGAGTCCGAGAAGTGTTTGAAACTGCTACCAAGGCCGCACTCTCAGTCAGGATTAAGAAGAAGACTAAATGCACCCTTTTGTAAAGGTTAGTGAAAGGATAGTGAATTTTTTTTTTATACAGGGTACAGTATTGGCTTTTAAAGAATTACATTGAAATATGGAATGGGTTGTCAGACAATATCCCTTCCCTTTCAGGAATGTATCTCCTGAAATGGAAGAGAATCCTTTTTTAAGGGTGATATCAAATATGTTAAATTTGACAGTGTTCTGAATTACGCAGGCACAGTTCAGAACATCAGTAATTTTTTTACCACTGCCTATTTTAACCCTTAAACTGTCCAAACGTAGATCTATGTTTGCTCACGTAGTGCTCCGAACGTAATCTACATTTTTTTGTACACTTTCAAATGGAGAAAATCAAGGTCGGAGCACTACGCATGTAAACGTAGATCTACGTTTGGACAGTTTAAGGGTTAAATAGATTCCAATGCTTGATTTGACCCAGTCCTTAGCTATTTCATTAGTATGCCTTCTGTTTTCTTGAGTGCAAGAAAGTGACCATTCACCTATGAGGACTACCCTATAAAATGCACAAATTGGTAATTTGGTCAGTTTTACACAACTCAAACTCAATTTTAAAAACTTAAATTAAACACTGCAAGCATTCCATCCACTAAAGCAACCCTTCCTCTGTTAATCATTTCCTCAGGCCTGCCTTATACTTTCCCCCTCCAATTTGAAAACATCATCACATTAAATATCAGTTTTACCTGTTTCTTGGATAAAAAAATATAACCAGGAATAACTAGTCATAGTTTAGGCTGTCCCAATAATTGAAGCAGACCTAGTAAAAACCTATGAAACATTGGGAGAGATGGGGGGGGGGGGGCTACCCTTCCTCAGGGAAATCCACCAAAATCAAATAGTTTTGTCACCTTGAGGCTTGTTTGTTTCAAGCTATTTCTGGTCTATGACTGACAAAAATGATCTTTTTCACCAGTATGTCTCATAAACCATGATACAAGTAGAGTTTCAACCCATGGCAAGAGTCTTGAAACTCCAGGCCCTTATGTCTTATTTTACCAGTTGATACGAAGAAACGGCCAGTAGAGCACTAAAAAACCACCTCACGTGCTATTTTAAACCATACATAAGGTCAGAGATTTGCTTTTTCTGTCAGGATTTATTTTTATACTGAACATGCCAACCACAAGGACCCATTCTCTCATATCTAGGCCAAAATTTACGGCTTGCAACATACTTGAGGGTGTTGTGCTTAAAACAGATCTACATGAGCAACATTGGCATCAGTAACCTAGATCTACATGGAAGATTGTATTAATGTTGGTAGAATTACTGACAATATGTTAGGTAAAAGGACAAAAGTACAACTAATGTGACATTTTGTTTTCGCAATGTTTCTCACTCCAGGAGCTTTATCAAGACGTAACGGCTTGATAAAACTCCTGGAGAGAAAAACGTTGCCACAATAAAATGTCACATTAGTTGCACCTGTGTCCTTTTACGTAACATACATGGAAGATGGTGAAAGGGTTAAGCAGAAAATAAAATTTTGTGGGGCAAGGGCAGACTTGTGGAGTGGCATACAACAAGTTATGGACCACCCTGGTACATTGTATATTTATCCTTCCTGACCTGCTTTATTATAAATAGTAGTTTTTATTCCTTTTTCTTTTTTTCTTCCACAATTTAAAGTCTTTTCTGAAACTGGTCTGAAGGGGTGATGATTTTCTGAAACATTCTCAGATCTTCCCTTAACCCTTTGAGGGTCGACAGGCCCTCTCCGAAACTCGTTCTCAGGGTCGGCCAAATTTAAAAAAAAAAAAAATTATTTTCTCTTATGAAAAGATAAGAGAATCTTTTCCCGATCATAAAGACACCAAAAGTTTGAAATTTGATAGAAAACTTACGGAATTATGCTCTCGCAAAGTTAGCGGTCTCGGCGATGTTTACGCATCGGCGATTTTGCCCACTTTGAGCCCCATTTTCGGCCAATTTCACTGTACTAGTCGACAAAAAACATGAATATTTCGCTAGAAACTCCATTTTTTCTATCGAATGGGTGCAAGAAACCACCCATTTATGAAATTCAACTATCCAGTACAGTGGTCAGAATTTAGCAATTTTGCCAATTTCACACAAATTTCAAAAGATGCCAATTTCCGAATAGGGTCCAGAATAAACAAGAAAGACATTCCTGGCACTAAAATGACATTTCCTCTAGTCTTTAGTCACGTCTCAAGGCCCCTCTTATATTCTTTTGCTTTCCACTTTGAATTTTTATTCTCACAAAAAATATAAGATTTACTGTTATGCAGACTACTGCATTAGTGTAAAAAATGGTATAAATATTATTGGTGCATTTGTGAAAGAATATTAGACTCACCAGTTGACGTGTATTGCACGCTTGGCACAATTTGTTTACTTTTGAAGTTTGGTAAAAATCGAACATTTCTGCTACTTTGAGCTCAATTTCAAGGCACCTTTCATTGTAAAACCAGTCAAAATCATCTCAATTTCTGTAATATGTCTTCCATTCTATAAAATGAGACCACGAAAACTAGAGTACAATAATAAATACCATACGAAAATACACTGCAAAGTCGCTGATTTATTCCAAAAAAATGGTCAGTTTTTTTTTTTTCTCATTATGCACTGTGTGCTGCAGGATTTTTTTTTAGACTGTGCACACTGACCACATAGACCCATTCTTTCATATGAAGGCCTACCAGCTTTCTCCCACTAGATTTGAGGCCGCTAGAATTTATGAGTACTAGTACGTCAAAAACCCCTACGCGTAAGACGTACTAGTACGACCAACACCCTCAAAGGGTTAAATAATCTAGTAAATATTTGAAGGATTCATGTGGGCTTGTTTATGCTTCAGCACACTTTATTTTTTACAGAGTATTAGTGATGAGGTGAGAAAGGAATGTACAACGCAGTCTGACGGAGTGCTACCTGGAAACCAATACAGTACTCGTACTGGCTCTCCTCGCCTCTCCTTTTATAGTGCCTCGGCTTGGTCATTCTTCCAGGACTCTAGATTGACCAACAGTCGTGTTCACTGTTTCTTCCACTCAGTCTTACCATTTACACATCAAAAATCAGCATGGCCTAAGCATATTGGCAGTATCTTAGGAGATGGAAATGCCTATGGCATTGAGTTCAGTTTCTACTTAGTTTGAGGTATATAGAAAACATACAGGAATTGTAAGTAGTTTAAAGTTTTTTTTCACTTGTGTATTACTAGGGAGTAGGTTGAGGAGAGGGTGTTTCCAGTCCAGACAGTTTAGGTACATGACCAGGCTTGGTATATATGGATTGGGGAGAAATACAATCCCAGGTGCATAGGTAAGAATAACGTATATATCATGTCTGCCTATAAGATTGAATGTTCATACAACCTTGAACCTCCATGGTGTATACAAGACCATCATATAGGTGTGCACAATAAATTGTTAATGCAGAATACTTTAAAAAAAAAAAAAAACCTGTGTGCACAAAATTAGGGGTTTAAAGATGGGTTGTATGTAAAGATGTTCATTACTTACTGTAATGATAGATATTGCACATGCTTGATGTAATATCTATTTATTATTTAAAGTAAAGCTTTGTAAATGAATTCGGTATGGGGCCAGCTAAATCTAGACTGCGTTGGACTAGCAAAATTGATTGTGGTGTCCAATTTATAATACTTTTCATTACTACTATGTAATTATTATTTGTTAATATAAGTTTTTTTCCATTGTTCTATTATCTGTTTTATTTACAGTTGTCAAAAGTGAAACTTAATTCATGCTTGATATTTACTTAAATAGTATTGAAGTAAATATAATTTACATTAAAATTTTTATGTAAATATTATTTACTTAAATATTTTGCAGGACGACCAATGCCAAGTGAGTTTCTTGTTCATTTGGTAAACTAGACAGTGGCGCTACCAGTAAGTCATGTTAAGAGCAATGTGCTAACTAGTGCAACTCGTCTGCCAAGAAAGGAAACAACTATACTTTTGCCACATGTAGTTAGATTTTCTACTTGGAAATTATTTTCAATCGTACAGACTGCTTTCTCTTTAAACATCAAGTTAAAAATTTCAGCTATTGACCTAAGTGACATAAATCACGTAAAGTCATAAAAACTTCAGTGTTTCATATTCTAAGTGTGAATTTTTTATAATGATTTATATGTACAGTATGTACATACAGTTGCTTGAACCAAGTTAATTAGGAACTTGCAGCTTGAAAGTATGTACCAGCTCTAAAAGGATCTTCGCTTGGTAAGGCATTTGTAGGCCACTTGAGAATGTTGCTTTGCCTATTCCATACCTTAATTATTCCTCAGGCTGAATTCTTTTTAAACACCCATACAATTTGAGCACTTTTTCCTACTGAGATAAGATTTTATTTTTTGCAATCCTTATAATTATAGTTTTCCAAATTAAATTACAGTACATGGAAAGATGGCTTGCTTCAAGTTCTCAGTGGCTTTCAGAGTTTTGACCACATATTGCAAAGTGTTAGCTGAATTGCTTTTCATGTGTATTTGATGCTAAAGTATATTAAAAAAGACTAGATAAGTTTATTAATGAATAGCTCTTACATCAACGTACAGCCTGTATACATGTTCAGTTTACCCTTTTGTAATAAATATGTATCCTTTTATTGTTTGTGTTTTCTTATAAAGTACTGGTTTCAAAATGTTATTCCTTGCTTAATCTCTTACAAAATAAGGTGCATTATTTGTATGTGTTCCTCAAATGGTGAAAGTTTTTTTTGGGTCAGCCTGCCTTGGGAGATTGCTGACATGTTACAAATGTTTTGCACTCAGCTTCAAGCCACTAAATGTTGCATTAGTTGCAAGTGTGTGCCTTTACTGAACAATATAATTCTACCATTATTACTAATATTTGTTGCAATTATCTTCTGTGATAGTAAATCTTGTCAAGGGGCCTGTGAACCAAAGAATATTGTACCATACTTGATACAATATTTAGTTATAAATTACAATGGCTGAAAATTGGTACTAATGGCAACATCCAAGCACTAAATCCATAAGGGTTATACAGTGCTGCAAGGGTAGGTTGTGCTAAAGTGTAATATGCTTGATCAGTGCCATTCTTGCAGCACTTATTTGCATCGCATATATGCCTGTGTCATCATTTGTGGTTGTCTCAAGACTCCCTTAGTACTCTACAGGCTATACGAAAATTTGATACACCTCGCCCCCTAGTTCTCTGTATCCAACTTTGGCTATGCCGTATCTCTACCAAGCATAAAGATAGTTTTTTGTTGGGGTCCCTAGTCATGTTGACGTACAGGGCAATGAACAGGCAGACACTGCTGCGCGGTCAACAGTACATGACCTGTAAAATAAAAGGACACAAGTGCAACTAATGTGACATTTTATTGTGGCAACGTTTCGCTCTCCAGGAGCTTTATCAAGCTTGATAAAGCTCCTGGAGAGTGAAACGTTGCCACAATAAAATGTCACATTAGTTGCACTTGTGTCCTTTTACTTTACATATTGTCGGTAATTCTACCAACTTCAGTACATGACCTACCAATTTCATATAGGTGTTCCATTTCCAGACTATTTTGCTGTGTTGGCAACAACGTTGGTCAACTTTACTCTGTAACAAACTTCATTCTATTAAACCGAGCATAGGTTACTGGCCGTCGTCTTGTCATCAGTGCTGTGGTTGGAAGACTACTCTCTCCTGCCTTCGCATTGGCCACACCTGTTGCTCATGGGTATCTCATGGAGAGGCACCCTGTTCCTCTGTGAGCAGTGTCAAGTTCCAGTATCATTTAGCCACATTCTGTTAGACTGCCCCCTCTATCAACGAGCACGCAGAATTTACCTCCGTCGTCTCCGCTCTACTACTCTCTCTACCTTCCTTCCTTGCTGATGGACCCTCTAATCCTGACTCTCTCATTGACTTCTTGACAACTGATTTACTCCACAAACTCTGATGATACCTTTTGCACTCCTCAGTCTCTTGCTGCCCTCTACCCTTTCACCATCCACTGCCTTGCTGTTCTGCATAACCTGTTACTCATCCATCTCCCTTTTGCCACCTGATACCCTCGCTTCCTTCCTGCCCTGCAGCGCTGTATATTATTATAATAAAAAAGAAGTGCTAAGCCACAAGGGCTATACAGCGCTGCAGGGTAGGGAAGGAAGCGAGGGTATTGGGCGGCAGAAGGGGGGAGGGGATAGTGCGGGGGTAGAGGGTAGCAAGAGATTGAGGTAGAAAGGGCTGAAGGTATCAGAGTTTGTGAAGTCAGTTGTCAAAAAGTCAATGAGAGGGGCAGCGCTGTATAGCCTTTGTGGCTTAGCGCTTCTTTTTTTATTATAATAATTGATCAGTGAGGGTGAAGAGTACTAAACCCATAAAGGTTGTGCAGTGACCTTGGGGAATGGGAGACAATCGGGTTTGGTTCAGGTAAGAGGACTTAAGGATCTTATTTGGATCAACATCTTGCCAGCATTGAGGCACCAGATTCTCCCATTCCCTAGGTGCTGTATAACCCTTATGGATTGTTTTTCCATGAATATACTGCTAGGTGAGCAGGGGCAATAAGTATAAGGAGCCTTACCCAGTTTTCTTAAGAGTACAGTGCTGTATGACCTGTAGGGGTTTAGCACATTTGTGTACTCTACCCAGACTGTATAGCAGTTACCAGTGTTGCTCAAACCCCTTTGTAAGGAGCTTTCCCCTCAAGAGGTTCCTTGATGCTGGTGAGGGGCTTTTGATCTAGGAAATTAGATTATGCTCTGGGTCCCTGAATACCTCCCCCCCCCCCACATTCTGTATAATCCTATGGGTTTAGTCCCCCCCCCCATCATGATTATAATTATAATGCAAGGGGGCTTTTGATTCAAGAAACTGGACCTATGGTCCAATTCCTTAGTTTGAATGACTTCCATTTCCCCAGGCATTGTATGACCCCTATGGGTTTACTACCATGAATTTATAGTTAAACTTTGAGCAAATAACCATTGTCACTAGGTCTAATTTGAGCTGCCTTTCCAGGGCATGTGAAGGTGACATGTCTTCTACCCAACTGATAAGTCATCCAAGAGCAACCAACCGAAAAGCCCCTGCTCCTTCAAAATTTTAAAATTTCCAAGTTACTAGAGATAACTTTTAATGGCATATCCTACCACGCAGTCATGTAAAGGCACTGATCGATAAATAGCTCTTATTTAATCCTAATATTATATGAGGGAGAGATCACTACACCTGTAGATATTATTCCCAGCATTCTGTATTCAGAGATTCTTTTAACACCTTACAATTACTATCCAGGAGGCCCTCCACATTTGCAAGAGTTAGGGGATCAAGAACCTCGTGAATCTTGAAAATTCGCGAAATTTTGGTGCGCAAATACGATGTAGGGAAATATAATAATAGCATTTACTTAGCTTAACACTGCTTTCTTAACCTATTGAACCACGAACAATCATAAAACACATGAAATTATAATGCAAAACATGTAAAAACCGCCCGGCTGGGCATTAGCAAATGTTCGAAGCTTGTGAAAGTGGATGACTAGCTGTAAATATAACATCAGGTCAAGATGATATTAAAATATAAATTTGCATATTTTTATTACTTTTTTGAATTGATACAAAACTTATCATTCTCCATTCCTGTTACCATAAGCAATGAGGCCACTTAGCGTAATACAAAAATGAAATTAACTTTTATATATAAGCACACATACACTAGTTTTTTGCATTTTGTCATTTTTGAGCTTTTTTTTTTTTACAAGTAGCTTTCAAAAACAATCATGATCAACATGACAGGGAAAGCTTTTCAAGTAGCTTTTTTGTTACTCGGCAGCTTAAGTTTAATGTTACAAATGCAAGGAAATTATAATTGACATTTAAATAATGAACAATTTAACATCCTCACACTTGCCAACCCAAAAAATCCTAGTTACCTTAAGATGTAAACAGTCTTTTTACATTAATTTTTTTTGTTCCGTTTGGATTTGCTAAACACAGTCTGCACCAACCTACAGAACATATGGTTGAATTTAAAAAATCTCATTTTTTTCTTAAAGGAATTGCATGTGACCAAAATCATTACACTATGCATGACACTCAGATGATCAATGGAGAAAAATGCAAAACTTGCAAATTGGTCTTACAAAGCAATCCTTTATACTTTTTCTATTCACACTGGTGCCTACTATGACTATACAAAAGCTTTGGTGTATGTTTTTTTATAATAAAATGCCACATGAAAAATAAAAATCAACACGAGAAGAAAAATTTGTGTACGTAGGATGACCATTAAATATGCAATAAATTTATGAAAGAAGACCTAATTAGAGAATCACACAGCCCTCCCTGCAGAAATAAAATACTTTTGAGAAATTTTATTATCAAATTCAGTTTTATGTTATTGTGTAACTGTTAATGCATAATAAATCCTTGTCTTGTACTAAAATGTAGCCAAATATAACAGGTAGGAGCAGTTACAGATAGCATCTACAACTCCAACAGCACAAAGGAGTCACCAGCTAAATAGCAAGACTGAGATGTGGTGAAAGCAATCAGTTTTGGAAGCTATAAAACAATCTTTATAGATTATTATTATTGTAATAATAAAAAAAGAAGCACTAAACCAATCTTTATAGAATGGATGTAAATATGACAAAATGAGTCCAGAGCTTTCATTAAAATGGGTGCATCCTAGTACACATAATTTACCTGATATGCATGTAGTAAGGCTACTTAGCATACATGAAGTTACCACTTTAAGGGAACATTTCGAGCTAGTGTCAGGAATTTTTACTGCTCACAACCTGGTTTGCCTGCATTGTAGTGGGAGCAGATATGAATGCTTGCCCCAACCATTTAGATCACAAGGAGAAAAATATTCATAATTGCTACTGTTCAGGCAATAATAAATATTTTCACTTTGTAGTGAGGGTATTTGCATTATAACTTTACAGTATAATCTCTTAAATGGTTTACATTATTAGGAGTATATTCATGGCACAATTAAGAAGACACAGTGAGTTTTTATTGGACATGACATTCTTTAGTTTACCATACATATCGATCTTACTTTGAATAATTTGATAATGGATATATTATAATATAAAAAATGCTTAAAGTTCACTTTGAAGTCTTGATCCTATTACCTACACTAGCTGTTTTTGTAAATCTTTACTTTTTAAAAACAGCCTCTCTCTCCATAACTGGACACATTTAGGAAAGACTTTCCATCTTTCCACACTATTTACTCAGGACAAAAGACATGTGGTTATTTTGGTATTATATAATACACCAACATTTTTATGAATGTGACTACCTAAGGTTCATTACATACCTATACAATTTAATGTATATGTAGAAACAAATGATAAACTAAATTAACTTTCAATTATAACAATTACAACCAGCTGTTATGGTAGGTATATAAAGACCATAGTCTGAAAGTCAATGATCAGCCATCCTTATTAGGGTTAATAAGCAAGTAGGTACACAACCATGAATTTCTAGATTACCATCCTAATCAAGTATGTTCTCCAACTTTTTTTTTTTTTACTAAGTAAACATACGACTTCCTTAACAGAATAAAATTACCATCTAAAGCTTCATAAATCTACCTAACATTTCCCATTTTTTCATTTAACAAAATGCCTGAGTAATGCATCACCATCAATCAAATGGGAATTCAAAGTGAAAAAATCAAGTATGCAATATTAACACTTAAAAATTATTTTAGGGTTGCTTATAAATATCATCAAGCTGTCTTCCCATTATATAAGAGCCATCTAGCACAAAGACCACTGTTCTTCCTCCACATATGCCAGAAATTAAGGTCACTGGAAGCAGGAAGTTAAGTTTGTTTTAGGTTTCAAGGCTCCTGCTGCCAATAACCTAACATCAGTATCAAAATGGGCCATGGGCATCCACACACTGATCAGTTTAAAAAGTACTTCATAAATGGTATATGGTTTGGGGTAGGCCAGATGAATGGCAAAGAACTAACAGTATGAAGAGTTATTGGGCATACTTGTGGTGTCACAGGTAAGGTTAAAACACGGTCAACACAATAGTACCTTCAAGTGCATTATGTATAAATACGTCTATTTCGCGTATTTATCCCTTTTAGTTGCGTGGGATCACAGACTTTAACACAGCCTTATAGTTGAGGTATAATTATGGAAACTCATTTGCAGTGCATCATCATTTTCCTCAGTGAAAGAACATCAATTCTGAGTATCTAGTTTTTGCTCAATTATATATAATATATATATAATTAATAAACATTTAGTGTATCCTTGAGTAGAATGGAAAAATTTTTAACCACCAAAGAACCTGAAGAAGGAATGACTGAATTTGTGCATTTAGAATTTGGGGATTTTTTTCTCCAGAATCTTTGATATGGAGCTGCCATATTTAAGTAGTTAATCCCAGTATAATTTTGTAATCTCAAAATTAAAACTAACTAAAAAAAAAAACTGGAATATAGATACACCTCTGTCACTAAATATTATTTTAGTTCCACAAATTTCTTAAATGTCAAAGCGGTTTGCATAAGCTTATTTGAGGCCTTTCTTAAGTAGAACTCAAAACTGATGCCCTGCTCACCTTTCAAAAGAAAATCAAGTTCTCCTTGGATATAATGGCATCAGTTACTGATTAATTCCTTAGTTCTAATCATGTGTTACATTTCACAGAATCTCTTGATCATGTTCTCATCCCCCCCTCCCCCTTTTTTACTATTAATGTTTTCCTGTCAGGATGTACTTATATCAATATGCTAAAACTAAAACAAAATTATCTGGCAACACAAGATAGTAAATTTTCAGGCAAAGACAATTTAAATATGCCCAGAACAGCGACATATATTGACCATACCACACAGCAAAATTCCTTGACTACTCTTCCTGATGCCAGCCTCTAAATGCCTTTAACATCTCAAAGTCAAGAGAATTACATCTACACAAATTCAATAGCACACTGAATTAACACTGTACTGTATCTCAAGGAGGTGGCTTTAATGTATTTCTCTTGTACTAAAAAGACAGTAAATATGCCTTATGTCTTTGATAAAAGAATTAGCAACAAAAGGAAAAAAACTGAAAAATAAGCATCTTGTGGGGTCCATTAGATGCCTATATTACTTGTACTTTAAGAAAAGGTACTTATAACCTTATATGTCAATCATATCCAGCTAAAATCATTACACATCAGCAAAGAAAGCTGGCCAAAATATCCAGGGATAACAAGATTTGCTACCACTTCATTACTTCTGATGACTGCTATATCATCGCTATGCTACAATTAAGTAATAACACTGAATTCTTAAGCAAGGTGATTAAGTAGTGTTTACATTCATCAATTATAATTCAAATCAAGAAATTTCGATAAGCCATATACACATTCAAATATCAATTGGAGTTGTTTTGCACTCATAAAATATTGGCTACTTCTACAATGAAAATGGGATTTGTTAAGCTCAAAGTTGTGACAATTTGGTAAAGTTATACAGTACAACAATTGATCATACAACATTCATTCACCTGGGGGCATTCATTTCTGATACATTTTGCAAAGTATGATGACTATTCTAATATTAAGCATCGCTAAACTACAAGGAGATGCTGAGCAAGCAACAAAAGCAAGGGGAAAATTATCACCCTAAGTGGCCTCTAGTAGGAAAACGTTTTGCGAACACATTCGTTACACTCGCTCCAACAATTTCAGCAATACTGGGTTACAATGAGGCAATGCACTAGCTCTCAGCTCCATCACCAACCACATCACCAGCAACTAAAATATCTATACCATTACATGTTTATTCTGCAGTAGATGCATCATATTCTTACCCAATCTAGTCCTTCCATAGGGCTTATTCTGGAAATTTTTTGCCTCAATGTACTGGGCAATAGTCATTAAAACTAAAGTTAAGAGAAATTAATAGGGAAAGGATACAGAGAAGAGGGGAAAGTGGAGAGGGGAAATGGGAAGGTAAAAAGGTAAATGGAGAATAAGGGTAGAGGAAGAAAAAGGAGTAGAGGGAAGATGAGGGGAAGGAAACAGGGATGAAAGTAAAGGAGAAAGGTGGGAAGGCAAGAAAGATGGAAAGAGACAGAATTATATATCATATACTATACATATCAATTAGTAGAATTCAATGAAGTGTTTAGGAGAATTTAAAATTGTACAGGATGTTTGATTCCATTCTTTATATTCATGAATATCTTTTAACACACACACACACACACACACACACACACACACACACACACACAATGGGGCCAGGAGCTGTGACTTGACCCCTGCAACCAGAATTAGGCGAGCACATGCATGCATACATGCATGCATATACACACATGCACGCATATACATATATACACATTCATTCATTCATACAAACACAAGTAGAAAGGGTAAGGGAAGTAGGAAGTAAGTTCAAGCAAGAAGGTTGTAAAGACATTAAGGTTCCTCACTAGACTCCGATTCGGATATTGTGCGTTGTAAAATAAATCCCTTAGTGCCATCGGGACCCTTTGGTTGGCGTAGAACAGTCATGCGTGGCTTACCGTTGTCACAATTCAAGTTTTTAAGTCTGCTGATGAGACGGTTAGGCCGTTGTGTTGGAGCAGTTTTTGACCTGCAAATGAGTCATAATAATCAGTTTTTGTTATTATAGCCATAACTATACTTTTTTTTTTTTCAACAAGTCGGCCGTCTCCCACCGAGGCAGGGTGACCCAAAAAGAAAGAAAATCCCCAAAAAGAAAATACTCTCAGCATCATCCAACACTTTCACCTCACTCACACATAATCACTGCTGTTACAAAGGTGCCCAGAATACAACAGTTTAGAAGTATATACGTATAAAAATACACAATATATCCCTCCAAACTGCCAATATCCCAAACCCCTCCTTTAGAGTGCAGGCATTGTACTTCCCATTTCCAGGACTCAAGTCCGGCTATATAAAACAACCAGTTTCCCTGAATCCCTTCACTAAATATTACCCTGCTCACACTCCAACAGCTCATCAGATCCCAAATACCATTCGTCTCCATCCATTCCTATCTAACACACTCATGAACCCTTGCTGGAAGTCCAAACCCCTCGCCCACAACACCTCCTTTACCCCCTCCCTCCAACCTTTTCGAGGAGGACCCCTAACCCACCTTATTTCCCTACAGATTTATACGCTCTCCATGTCATTCTACTTTGATCCATTCTCTCTAAATGACCAAACCACCTCAACAAACCCTCTTCAGCCCTCTGACTAATACTTTCATTAACTCCACACCTTCTCCTAATTTCCACGCTCTGAATTTTCTGCATAATACTTACACCACACATAGCCCTTAGACGACAGGACATCTCCACTGCCTCCAACCGCCTCCTCGCTGCAGCATTTACAACCCAAGCTTCACACCCATATACGAGTGTTGGTACTACTATACTTTCATACATTCCCTTCTTTGCCGCCATAGATAACATTTTTTGCCTCCACATATACCTTAATGCACCACTCACCATTTTTCCTTCATCAATTCTATGATTAATCTCATCCTTCATAAATCCATCCGCTGACACGTCAACTCCCAAATATCTGAAAACATTCACTTCTTCTATACTACTCCTCCCCAATTTGATATCCAATTTTTCTTTATCTAAATCATTTGATACCCTCATCACCTTACTCTTTTCTATGTTCACTTTCAACTTTCTACCTTTACACACACTCCCAAATTCGTCCATTAACCTTTGCAATTTTTCTTTAGAATCTCCCATAAGCACAGTATCATCAGCAAAAAGTAACTGTCACTTCCCATTTTGTATTTGATTCCCCATAATTTAATCCCACTCCTCTCCCAAACACCCTAGCATTTACTTCTTTTACAACCCCATCTATAAATATATTAAACAACCATGGTGACATTACACATCCCTGTCTAAGACCTACTTTTACTGGGAAGTAGTCTCCCTCTCTTCTACACACCCTAACCTGAGCCTCACTATCCTCATAAAAACTCTTTACAGCATTTAGTAACTTACTACCTATTCCATATACTTGCAACATCTGCCACATTGCTTTCCTATCCACTCTATCATGTGACTTTTCTAAATCCATAAATGCAATAAAAACTTCCCTACCTTTATCTAAACACTGTTCACATATATGCTTCAATGTAAACACTTGGTCTACACATCCCCTACCTACTCTAAAACCTCCTTGCTCATCTGCAATTCTACATTCTGTCTTACCTCTAATTCTTTCAATAATAACCCTACCGTACAATTTTCCTGGTACACTCAGTAAACTTATTCCTCTATAATTTTTACAATCTCTTTTGTCCCCCTTCCCTTTATATAATGGGACTATACACGCTCTCCGCTAATCCCTAGGTACCTTCCCCTCTTTCATGCATTTATTAAACAAAAATACCAACCACTCCAACACTATGTCCCCCCTTGCTTTTAACATTTCTGTCATGATCCTGTCAGTTCCAGCTGCTTTACCCCCTTTCATTCTACGTAATGCCTCACACACCTCCCCCACACTCACATCCTGCTTCTCTTCACTCCCAAAAGATGGTATACCTCCCTGGCCAGTGCATGAAATTACTGTCTCCCTTTCTTCGTTGACATTTAAAAGTTCCTCAAAATATTCTCGTCATCTACCCATTACGTCCATCTCCCCATCTACTAACTGCCCTACTCTGTAACTGACAAATCCATTCGTTCCCTAGGCTTTCTTAACTTGTTGAACTCACTCCAAAATTTTTTCTTATTTTCATTAAAATTTCTTGACAGTGCCTCTACCGATCTATCATCTGCTCTCCTTTTGCACTCTCTTCACCTTTCTTTTACTCTCCATATACTTTACTCTTCTTATAACACCTCTGCTTTGTAAATACCTCTCATAAGCTACCTTTTTCTCTTTTATCACACCCTTTACTTCATCATTCCACCAATCACTCCTCTTTCCTCCTGCACCTACCCTCCTATAACCACAAACTTTTGCCCCACATTCTAATACTGCATTTTTTAAATTATTGCAACCCTCTTCAACCCCCCCACTACTCATACTTGCACCAGCCCACCTTTCTGCCAATAGTTGCTTATATTCCACCCGAACTTACTCCTTCCTCCCTTAGTTTATACACTTACGCCTCCCTCTTACTTTTTGTTGCCATTTTCCTTTTATCCCATCTACCTCTTACTCTAACTGTAGCTACAACTAGATAATGATCCGATATATCAGTTGCCCCTCGATAAACGTGTATATCCTGGAGCCTACCCATCAACCTTTTATCCACCAATACATAATTTAACAAAGTACTTTCATTACGTGCTATGTCATACCTTGTATATTTATCCTCCTTTTCATAAAATATGTATCACTTATTACCAAACCTCTTTCTACACATACCTCAATTAAAGGCTCCCTATTTTCATTTACCCCTGGCACCCCAAATTTACCTACTACTCCCTCCACAACATTTTTACCCACTTTAGCATTAAAATCCCCAACCACAAGTACTCTCACACTTGGTTTAAAACTCCCCATGCATTCACTCAACATTTCCCAAAATCTCTCTCTCTCCTCTATACTTCTCATCCCCAGGTGCATACACACTTACTATAACCCACTTCTCACATCCAACCTTTATTTTACTCCACATAATCCTTGAATTAATACATTTAGAGTCCCTCTTTTCCTGCCATAGCTAATCCTTCAACATTATTGCTACTCCTTTACCTCTAACTATTTGAAACCCCTGACCTATTCCCATTTATTCCTCTCCACTGAAACTCACCCACCCCCTTCAGCTTTGTTTCACTTAAAGCCAGGACATCCAGCTTCTTCTCATTCATAACATCCACAATCATCTCTTTCTTATCATTCACACAACATCCACGCGCATTCAGACTTCCTACTTTGACAACACATCAACAGAGACTTGACATTAAATTTTGCACGAAATAAAGATCTACTGTGTACATGATTAACACTATGAATTGCATTTTATGGAAAAAAAAAAAAACTGCTCTTGTAATGAAAAGTCATGGTTAAAAATATCCTTACAGTAAACCTTATCAAAATGTGCAGGACACATTCCTGATAAAGCAGCACTATATGAAAATTAGCTTAATGTGAAGACATGTGGGAAAAAGGACAGGGTTACGTTTCAGACCTCCCAAATTCGTCATTTTTTTTTTATTAAACCAGGTAAAAATTAGTACAGTTTATCTTGTCTTACATTGCTACTCATTGCTTGAAGCATTTAAGCAATGTGAGGTTAGCATAAGACAACTGGGCTGAGTTGTTATTGGTTTGAAGGACTACAATGATATATGTTGTATGAACCCTGCTCCTGTAAGTCTGGTGAAAATTCTGCCCAAATCTGGGAGAGTAATGTTATATATATATATAAAAAAAAAGGGGGGGGGGGGGAGGGGAATATACATCCCAATTAGGTCAGGTGGACCCCCGTGCCTAAACCTAGGTAGAGCCAGACGCCTACATCCTTGGCCGATAAAAGTTGAGGTATGGTGTCCCAAACAATTGCTGTGGGAAATATGCAACAGAGACGGCCACTCCAAGAAGAAAATGGGAAATATGTCACTGATGTTCAAAGCAGAGCAAGAGTAGAGTGAGATGTCCACACTCGAAGACTAGTGCAGTGGTCCTGGGCCAAGTTATATGTAGTAAGGCTTATCAGCTGACACTTGGTACATATTAACATTTCCTACCAAACACAAACTCACTACAGCTATGCCAAACATGTAATAATGATGAACCATTTAAAAAAGTAATAACCAAATAAAATAGAAGTAATTCTTATAACAATTTGTGGAAGGCTGGGTTGGTCTGAGTGATATGAAGTGAGATGCTGACTCTGGTTTTGAATCTCAACAATACTGAGAAACCACAAATTTGTAACTCCTCAATACTCTTCTGAATTTCTATGTATCTAAATTCTGCACAGTTTTATTTTTTATCATTATGCAATAATGTTGGGTTCAGTGAAAAAGAGTAATTAGTAGGCCTCACCATACACTTGGGTCCAACTGAAACCAGACTGAGGAAAAAAAAAAGTCCATGCCTGTACCTCTCAAAATATTACCATGTCGATAATAGGGGCAGCAGCTGGTAGAGACTGGCCCATACATCTTCCCTCATTATCTCAGTCAAATAAACACTACTTTGCCTTACCCAACAAGGAATGGGGAATCCCTAGAATGGGATGTGTTTGGACAATTAGCTGATGTACTGGCTGTGCTTCAGTAAATGAAAGCTGTCCTACACTTCAACTTTCTCGTTTAAACACTTATTCACTCTTCATTATCAAAATTGTAGAAATAAAGCACGAGTAGATACATTACTGTTAAAAGGCACGAGAAGGTGATATTTTAGGGTAATTACAATAATGTACGATACTGGGTTGCTAACCTCGAGGGTCAATTATCTGAATAAATTCTCCCACTGAATTTTCGAGGGTTCTTGATATTAACCCTTTGACTGTCGCGGCCGTATATATATGTTTTACGAGGTGCCGTGTTTGACGTATATATACTCATAAATTCTAGCGGCTTCAAATCAAGCAGGAGAAAGCTGGTAGGCCCACATGTGAGAGAATGGGTCTGTGTGGTCAGTGTGCACCATATAAAAAAAATCCTGGAGCACGCAGTGCATAATGAGAAAAAAAAAACTCGACCGTTTTTTTTAATTAAAATGCCGACTTTGTGGTCTATTTTCGTATAGTATTTATGGTTGTATTCTCGTTTTCTTGGTCTCATTTGATAGAATGGAAAACATATTACAGAAATAGAGGTGATTTTGATTGATTTTCCTATAAAAAGAACCTAGAAATGGAGCTCAAAGTAGGGGAAATGTTTGATTTTTGCCAATGTTCAAAAGTAAACAAATGATGCCATTGTCCAATAAATGTCCAACTAGCCATTCTAATATGCAGTCATGAATGGGTTGATGTTATTTATACAGTTATTACAGCATTGCAGTAGTCTGCATAATAGTAAGTCTAATATTTTTTGTTTGAATAAAAATTCAAAATAGAAAGCAAGAGTAATATCAGAAGGGCCTGGAGACGTGACTGATGAACAAAGAAAATGTTATTTTAGAGCCAGGAATGTCTGCATTGTTTATTCTGGACCTTATTTTGAAATTGTGATATTTTTTAGTTTTCGTGAAATTGGCCAAATTGCAAATTTCTGACCACATTATTAGGTAGTTGAAATCAGTAAATGGGCAGTTTCTTGTATTCAATCGATAGAAAAAATGAAGTTCTAAAGAAATAGCTATGAGTTTGGGCGACTGGAACAATAGAATTAGCCGAAAATAGGGCTCAAAGTGGGCGAAATCGCTGATTTGTAAACAGTGCCGAGGTCGCTAACTTTGCGAGAGCATAATTCCGTCAGTTTTCCATCAAATTTCGTTTTTTTGGTGTCATTACAATCGGGAAAAGATTCTCTATCATTTCATAAGAAAAAATAATTTTTTTTTTTAAATTTTGCGACACCAGGAGACACCTCAGGATCGGGGGTTGCGACAGTCAAAGGATTAATGCTCTCAATACTCTTCAAACTTTTCAAACAAGTGTTTCATGTAAATTTTGAAAGAATTGTGGGAGGCTGGGGAGTGCCCAACTATCTGTGGCCTGGTGTGCAGATTATGAAAAATCTATAGATATATTACCCAAATTTTGTAATTTACTTTTTTTTTTTTTGACTTACAGCACGTATAATTGAAGTTGTGAATAAATGGCTCACAAAACTGACAAGCTGATAAATCAGACACTTGTGCAATATTTACGTATCTTTATTCTGGAAACATTTTGCCACACAGTGGCTTCTTTCATCCAATGCAGAAAAAAGTGGAAGATGAGGAGTTTGAGATAATTAGTCCCTCAGCCTGGAGTTGATGTGTTCCATGTATCAATCTTGACAAAAGTGTGACAAAAGTGCAGCATACTCACAGAGATCAGGCTTATACACTGATGACAGATGAGGTGGAGCAGTGATAGGCAGAGTCACCAACAAACAAAGCCACTAGTGGAAGTAGATCATGTCTATAGATTAAACAGGTTCAGAAGAAATCCCTGCATCAAGATCCCAAAATGTTGCTGTGTGTGACAGGATGTGAGTAATGGTTTACAAAACCAACAAGTTGATAAATTTTTAGTATCTTGATGCAGGAACATCTTCAAAACTTGTCTAATCTATAGACATGATCTACTTCCACTAGTGGCTTTGTTTGTGACTCCACCTACCACTGCTCCACCTCATATGTCATCAGTATATGAGCTCAATCTCCATGAATATGCTGCACTTTCGTCAAGATTGATGGACTGAACACAGACTCCAGGCAGAGGGACTGATTACCTCAAACTCCTCCTAATCTTCCACCTCCTCCTCCTGCACTGGACTGAAGAAGCGCTTGGCGTAAAACGTTTCCAGAATAAAGATACCCAAATATTGCAAAAGTGTCTGATTTATCATTATTGAAGTTTTTCTAGCACACTTGGAAATTTTGGATGCACTTTTTCAAGAGTGTTTACAAGAAATCTCAATACATGATATTGCTTTGTAAGAGGATTTACTGTATATCAATCATACTACATTTTCAATGAAATGCAATGAAATGTACAGTATCATCCTTACAATTAATAATATAGAAATCAACACAGTCAAACTTCTTGCATTAAACATTATGAATAAAAATTAAATACTTAAGCAATAACAATTGTAGAGTTCTAGAGGTACTGCTTAGAAAGGGAAATGCATTTATTTTTACTTATTCTACTTACAAAGAGAAGGGCAAAATAGCTTACATGATGCGAGAGATACTGCAAGCGGAGGACTTTCCAGTTTTCTGATTGGTGATGATCACAAACTCCACCTCATCACCTGGGCTCAAGGAGTTCCCATCCTTCACTTCTGACTGGTGGAAAAAGAGCTTCTTCCCTTCCTCTGTTTCAAAATTCAGGAATCCATATTGACCTACCAAAGAACAAGGTCCTGATAAACAAAATGAAGTGATTTAACTTATCTATTCAAAAGCACATATAAAAAAGTTTAGCACTTTGAAGCCATAAGGGAACAAACTCAGAGCCTTTCACACATCATTAAGTAAAATATGTTTTATTCACCCCAATTTCAGCAGTATGTTGGTTAGCATGCATGTACCATGACCACTTAGACTCTAGCTAATTCGTCACTTCAGGTGCCCTTAAGGGAGGTTTGTCGATGCTCATGAAGGCTCTTGGTCCAAAGAACTGGGCCTCTCCTCCTCTTCCTTGAACTGAGCCTGTCTGCAATACAATTGCAGACAGGCAATCTTAACAATGGAAGACAAGCAATAGGGGATGGAAAGCTTTAACTCAAGATCTCTCACACATCTGTGCACCATCAGGAGCTATGGAATGTTGCAAGAGTAACAACAGGAGGAATGAGAGGAAGTTTTCTCAAATAAGGCATGGTGATGCCAACTATGTGTGTGTGTGTGTCAGCGTGCCTCGTTGTGCTCCGGGTTTTCTCGTGTTTTCACGGTCGCTCTTACGTGCTAGAACTTTAATTTGTGTCATCAATCCTATACGATACATCCCTCTAGCGCCTGGAACCAATCTTGGGCGGAAAACATTATATACCGAGCCAAAAATGGAGAATTAGTGTGCACTACCTAGCAGAGTTTACTACTAGAGGGGAATCATAGGCCTGGGTGCCGTGTGAAAAAGTAATAATAACTGAACTTTTCTTGTCAGAGGAAAGAAAGTCTCCCTGATAGCATTGTGTATACATAGTGTTATAGTGTATACTACAGTGGCTCCCTAGTATATAGATGATAAAGGCTAAAGTATCATTTGAAAACAGGTGAATTTGTAAATGAAGTGATAAGCCTATAGAGGCAGGTGCCAGAAGTCGCCAGAAACTTACCACAGGTCAGCTGTTTTTAATAATCTTCCTGGCCTGCTAGTGTACTCGCATATAATCTAGTGATACCAGTGAATAGCAGAATACAGTGCTGTAGTAGCAACTAACCAGTATTATAATGGTACTTAGTGGAGTGGAGTGACTTTCATTAGTTTCTTTTTCTTGAAATACCAGACGTTACTGTGAATTTCACATAACCTGTAGTTACCAGCGGTCGCAATATACACAACGAGAAGCAATTATTACTACAGAAAAAGCGTCCTTCCTCCAAAATTTGCACCAGTCAACTATAGTGATAATATAGCATTTATTGTGGTGGAGGCCAAAAAGAAAAACTAGAAAAGCTAGATACAGCGATTGATAAACAAGGGTTGAGGCTCGACCATTCGTCACTGTAGGAGTTGCCAGCAGTCACCGGTTTCTTCAACACGCAAGTTATACTTTTGTATCAATCAAATAACATATTACTCAGGTAGAATTTTCCAGTAGATCCTTCATGTGTTAGCCCAAATCACCGAGCAGTATGTTTTAAATAAGTGACCCACTGATCAGATCAGACTGGCTCCGAACCCTCGACTGGTCGAACCCTTGGCCGGTTTCAAACGGATTCGTTGGACAATAAAGCAGACTGTAAACGGATGGGGTTGTAGGCGCCCTTATAAACACAAACAATAAATATAAAACAAACTCCAGGAGCGTACTCCGGTAAGCTGTCCTGATATAAAAGTACAGTTAGAAATAGAAATACAGATAGCTAGAGCTTTACTTAAAGAGGTTATTAATAGAGTATTCAAGAGGTTGTTAGTAGAATTACAGTAAATCAACCATTCAAATCATTATGAAGCTGTGTGTAGTCTGCAATAAATCAAACAAACTGGCTTCCACATGGATAAATTGTCATTTTTGTGGAAATTGGTGTCACGCCCCTTGTGCAGATATCCAAGAACTAGCTACAAGCAGTATTAAAACAGGGAAGTGTTTTTGGGTATGCCCAAAGGAGATAAATCTGTGGACTAAAATCACAAGGGTATTAAAAGAGGATAACATCAAAGCTGCTTTCATAGACAACCTGGAAGCTTTCTACAACAGATGGGAACATAAAAAGTCTGGGCTGAATGGTACTGCCCTTGATACTGGCCATGTAGTCAGAAACAGTAAGGCTGGAGGTGATGTACTGGTACTCAGTAAATGTGGGGCTGATAGTGCTGTCCTGGGATACAGTAATGGTGAAGCTGGAGGTGCTGTCCTGGGAGACAGTAATGGTGAAGCTGGAGGTGCTGTCCTGGGAGACAGTAATGAAGCTGGAGGTGCTGTCCTGGGAGACAGTAATGGTGAAGCTGGAGGTGCTGTCCTGGGAGACAGTAATGGTGAAGCTGGAGGTGCTGTCCTGGGAGACAGTAATGGTGAAGTTGGAGATGCTGTCCTGGGAGACAATAATGGTGAAGCTGGAGGTGCTGTCCTGGGAGACAGTAATGGTGAAGCTGGAGATTTTGTCCAGGTAGTCGGGAATTATACGCAGGAAGGAATGCATATAAATGACCTCATAGGGGACAGGAGCCGTAGTGGGGAAACAAGTGTAGTCAAAGATAAGATAAAACCAATATTGCAAACAAGAAATACAACAGGAAATAGCAAACAAGAGGACTCCACTAGCAATAGTGAGGATATATTACCAAAAACAACTGGTGGAAGCTCCATTGTTGGTGCTAGGGAAGATAGGAATAAGACAGGTAAACATGCACCGACAGGGAATACAGTCACAGAAACCCAAGGCAAATGGAAACCAAGCCTGTGCACATACTACGCACTTGGTATCTGCACACATGGGAAATCTGGAAAAACAGATGGGACATGCAACTATGACCACCCTAGAAAATGTCGTGCCCATATGACAACAGGAAAATGCAAACTCCCTTCCTGTAAGCTTTTTCACCCTGAAATGTGTACCTCTTCAGTACAGGAAAGACTGTGCTATAACTTAAATTGCCAGGCACACCATCTAAAGGGGACAAAAAGATACAAAACATCCAGGCCATGGGAAAACCTGGGTAGCCACAGCCACTCAAGAGCGAGAGGTTTTTTAGTGCCAGGAAGGAAAAAAAAACTGGCAGAAATTGTACACCAAATCCAGTCATTCCTGGAGTGGAACCACAGTCGATGGCCTCCACTCCAAACCAACAGATACAGATACTAATGCCGGAAAAAAAAATCCCCCCCAGTACCAACAATACCACCAGTCCGATGACATTCTTCTTTGCAAATATACAGGGTCTAAAGCCAGTAACAAACAAAATACCTTTCATCCGTGGACTGCTTGCAGAGGCAAAGGCAATGTTCGCGGCTTTCACTGAGACCCACATAAAGGATCACTTAGACAACGAAATATGGATCCCAGGTTACAACCTATACAGATGTGACAAGAGTGAACAGGCAAAGGGGGGGGGGGGGGGGGTTTGGCCTGTACATTGCAGAGTCACTTGTTTGCACAGAACTGCTTAATGCCTCAAATGATGTAGTGGAAGTTTTAGCAGTAAAGGTCGAGAACCAAAACCTAGTCATTGTGGTAGTCTACAAGCCTCCGGATGCAACATCCCAGCAATTCCAGGAACAGCTGTTAAAAATTGACCACTGTCTGGAAAATCTTCCAGCTCCTGCACCCAACATCTTGCTCCTGGGGGATTTCAACTTAAGGCACCTAAAATGGAGGAATATAGCAAATAATATTGTTGCAGTAATAACACCAGGAGGCAGCTCTGATGAAAACTCACACTCACACAAGCTTTTAAATCTCTGCACAAAATTCAATTTAAACCAGCAAATAATAGAGCCTACTAGAATGGAGAATACACTAGACCTCATCTTCACTAACAATGATGATCTGATAAGAAATGTCACCATATCAAAAACAATATACTCAGACCACAACATAATTGAGGTTCAGACATGTATGCACAGAGCCCCAGACCGACAAAATGAGATTAGTCACGAGGGAGCATTCACCAAATTCAACTTCAATAACAAAAACATAAAGTGGGACCAAGTAAACCAAGTCCTAACCGATATAAGCTGGGAAGATATACTAAGCAACACAGACCCCAACTTATGCCTAGAACAGATTAACTTGGTGGCACTCGATGTATGCACAAGACTTATTCCTCTAAGAAAAAGGAGTAGTAGATGTAAAATAGAAAGAGACAGGCGCTCTCTTTACAGGCGACGGAAAAGAATAACAGAGCGGCTAAAAGAGGTCAATCTATCTGAAATGCGTAGGGAGACACTGGTCAGAGAAATAGCAAACATCGAACTTAAGCTAAAGGAATCTTATAGGAGTCAGGAATCGCGGGAAGAACTAAAAGCCATAAATGAAATCGAAAGAAACCCAAAGTATTTCTTCTCCTATGCCAAATCAAATCGAGAACAACGTCCAGTATTGGGCCCTTACTTAAACAAGATGGGTCCTACACAGATGACAGCAAGGAAATGAGTGAGCTACTCAAGTCTCAATATGACTCAGTTTTTAGCAAGCCACTAACCAGACTGAGAGTCGAAGATCAAAATGAATTTTTTATGAGGGCGCCAAAGAATTTGGTTAACACAAGCCTATCTGATGTTATCCTGATGCCAAATGACTTCGAACAGGCGATAAATGACAGGCCCATGCACTCTGCCCCAGGGCCAGACTTATGGAACTCCGTGTTCATCAAGAACTGCAAGAAGCCCCTATCACGAGCCTTTACATCCTATGGAGAGGGAGCATGGACACGGGGGTCGTCCCACAGTTACTAAAAACAACAGACATAGCCCCACTCCACAAAGGGGGCAGTAAAGCAACAGCAAAGAACTACAGACCGATAGCACTAACATCCCATATCATAAAAATCTTTGAAAGAGTCCTAAGAAGCAAGATCACCACCTATCTAGAAACCCATTAGTTACACAACCCAGGGCAATATGGGTTTAGAACAGGTCGCTCCTGTCTGTCTCAACTATTGGATCACTACGACAAGGTCCTAGATGCACTAGAAGACAAAAAGAATGCAGATGTAATATATACAGACTTTGCAAAAGTC